GATACTCACGTATCTGGCGATGAATACATTACTTCCCTATTCGTGCTGTTCTTCATTTTGATTTGCGCAAAAACGCATCAGTGCAGAGGTAGTTTCTGGATGCATGGAATGTTGACCATCGGTGGCTACTGGTGCATGATTCTCGCTTTCCCGGGATCACAAGGTAGCACTTCTTTGTCCACTGACCTCATCCAGGGCGGTTGTGTCGGCTCATCGTTCTAGTTTCAATGACGTCAATTTACAGGTTACAACCAAAATATGTCACGAAATATGTATGGACTTTATGAAGTGCCTGAAAATACGGGTGCGAAAGCTCCGCAGGAGTGTAAAGTGCTGCGAGAGAAGGCGCTTGGTAGCAGAATGCAAGTGTCGACAGTGGGTTCAAATTAACATATGGATTTTTGAACATTTACTTAGTAGCCCAAAACCTGGGAATGTTGACCGATTTATTTTTCAAGCAGTTTAAAAACAGTGAATAAAGATAAAAAATAGCTTCTGCATGATGACTGTTTTGAAATTCTCCTGCCCTCCTGAAGCTATGTGATAGTAAATGATGCAGAGGAAGTTCGAACTGACCGTTTCGAAATTCATGAGGGTTTAATTTTGTTTTTAGGCTTCTCCAAATTTCTGTGCTTACGTTAAAAAATCTGAAACATAATAAATCGCTCAGCAGCAGAAGAACACCGAAGGGGTCTTTTTGCATTTGTTCACCAGGCATTTCCTGATAATCAAGTGAATCTTTCCGATCCGTTCTACTCCCGAATTTCCCAGTTAAAACGTCTAAAATTTACTGAATAGAGATGAAATCGTAAAAAACTGAGGAAAATTGTTACAGCAGCGAAATCTGGCAGTTGTATGGAAAATTTAAAGCAAAAACCTTTTAAGTTTTGCAAAAAACAATAATTTTTCTGGAGCAGCGAACTGTAACTCCGTATTCATTGTACCATTTACTGCATTCGCATGCTTTCCCACTACTTTTTTCCTAATAAGGCTTAGAGGCCGAACAAGAACCCATGCAGAAAACTCTCCATTGTGACTTCTGTTTCCAGTGTTGATTTATCATCACAAACTGTCATTGATGTCATCCCCTTAAGTCACTGTTGCAGTGCTGTGCCTTTTTACTGTTGAATGAACCGAAACAGTGCATTAAAAATGCCTTTGTTTTGCTGTGTTTACAAAAAAGCCCAGGCTGGAACGCACCAGAAGGGCCGGTGCGATCATACGTTTTTGCATCAAACTTAAAGTAATTAGGTTAACTACACACATGAATAGTTGTTTCTTCACACCTACGTTGCACGCTCACTATCGTAAATCGTCATAAATTTTGTATAAACGGAAGTAAAAAATTTCCGTTTGGCGGTCGTTTTTATGCGTTTTTGCTTACATTCAAATTGCAAAAACGCATACTGCAAACAACTCTGCCTGTGTGTCTGTTTGTGTGTGAGTGTGTGTTCGTCTGTCCGGGTATTTCAACTAGGCAACCAAACAAGTTCCATCGCCAAGTTTTTGCTAGCGGGTTCCCCGGCCAAGTGCTACCCCAGAACCGCGGTACCAACCATCATGCAAGTCTGGGCTCCGCGTACGAGAGGGTGAAAGTTTCGGCGGGGAAATTGATAGCTCGGTAACGAGAAAAAATCATTGGCGACGCGCACTGGGGGGCCCCGTGCGATCATTCGTTTTTGCAGTGTTTTGTGGTGTAATGAGATTACTCGAAATTCCGCTAGCTAGAAACCTCTTGTATATACTGGTCCTCGAATTTCGGGAACTT